CCTCCCATCCAAACTCCGGCCTCGCTTCTGTGGTCCTTTTCTCGTTGAGGCACAGGTGACACCAGTTACATTCCGCTTGCGCTTACCAGATACATGGAAGCTTCACAACGCTTTCCATGTCCAGCTACTGAAGCCCTACAAGGACCCCAACCAACAGTTCCAGGGACGGCAACTACCGCCACCACCACCTGTTCTCATACAGGATGAACCCGAGTACGAGATCGAGCGCGTTCTTACCCATCGGCGCCGCGGTGGCAAGAGCCTCGAGTTCCTGATATGCTGGAAGGGATACGGCCCCACTGAGGACAGTTGGGTTGCAGAAGCTGATATGGGCAACGCACGCCGTGCTCTCAAGGACTATCTTGTCAAGCAGGGTGTATCTCACGCCACCCAGCTTTGAGGGGGGGACGTGTGAGAGTACGACGGCTTATGCCAGCTATGCTTGCTTGCCTCTACTTTATCATGCTATTTCTAGCATAGGATAATCATATGCATGCATGAATTGCTTGATTTCCTAGGCTAGGTGCTTTCCTATATTTTATTATAGTTATAGCACCGAGCTAGGTTGCGTGCACCGAATTCTGGCTTTTCGGTTGCCACCGAATTGCCTTCTACCGAATTTGGTAAGGATCTGTTCGGGATGCTTCGCGACCCGCGGAACCTTCGCGTAACACCTGGTTACGGGGCCTTGTGTCGAGCCTATATATAGCCTCGTGTTGTACCCAGGTGATCATTTAATTCAATTTGAATCATCTTTTCTGAGCTCGATCCCAGATCCTCACATTTCCCGTTGTTGTAGATGCACGTTTTCCGGTTGACCCAGTCGATCTTGGGGTTGAACCGCTTAAGAAAATCTTGCCCCAAGATGAAATCTAATCCCTTGATGTTCGTGATCGGCAACGTCGGATTCCACCTCAACGCCCCTATCTGCAGCTGCAGTGTTGACTTTCCGTAGATGGGAAGCTTCGTACCGTCCACCATCGTTGCTGTAAACTGGGTTTCTTCTTATGATTCTCCAATTTTCTCCAACGTCCCGCAGTCGCACACCGAGTGGGACGCACCACTGTCCACCAGGGCCTGGAGGCGACGCCCGTTGCAGATCACCTCGAGTACTACTGGTTGCTCCTGCTCCGAGTATCCGTAGATGGTATCGCTTATAGGATCGTAGGGTACGTCGAATATGTTATCCTTAGGTCCTGCGCTCAAAGATGCAGCTTCAGTATCAGTTTTCAACTGAGAAAGGTTAGAAGGATTTATCCGAGGCCGATTCGGCTTCTCTTGGGCCTGGAACCTTCCACTAAGCCTTTGCAGCTGTGTAGGCTTCATCTGTGGGGAACAGGGAGCCTTTAAACAGTGCTGCTGTGAGAGAATATTAACTCCTCAGAACGCTCGACCCGTATTAGCGCTCTGGAGTAGGGTCCCCATAATACCCGGTACCGGTTTAATTTTTGACTCTCCCTTAATAAAGGCTTGAAACCCACGAGAAGTAATATTCTTACTTGTCGGGGTATACGGCTGGAGTTTCCCGGTCGGTGCACGGTCTCGTTTCGCGGATCCTCCATTAGTCTCGGCGATTTCCCTTGGTGCCGGCTGGTCGTGACGTTTTAAATTTGCGCCACCATATTCTCCTTTTTTCGCCCTCTCCGAAGTTGCCATGTTGTCCGTTTTCTGTTTCGGGGGTGCCGCACTGTTCTTGTCCTTCAGCTCCGCACACCTTCTCTTCATTTTCCAACACGCCAAGATACGATGTCCTTTAGCGCCGCAAAATTTGCACGTCTCATTATTTGTTAGCCGCTGCTCCACATCGCCCTCGTCGTTCTCCATTGGGTCGGCAGTCGTGGGTGGTGCCAATCGCCCCATGCCACTAGTTGGCTTGTTGCGTCGTGTTCCGTAGTAGCTACTGTTCAACGTGTCGAACTGTTCGATCAGTGCTGCCGGAAACTGCGCCCACGTCCCCTCGCCTTGGACTATTCTGTTGTTGATCCACTCTAGAGCTGGGCCTCGTAACAGTGTTGCTGCGAGCCGTATGCGCATTGCGTCTTTTGTCGGGGTCGTGCATCTAACGGCTTCGAAGTAAATTTCGAGTTCAGCTACAAATCGACGAACGTCGTTCCTTTTTACCGTAGGATCGAACGCCTCCGGTAGCCTCAGCTTCACTGCTTCGAGGTTAACTGTAGCTGCTGCCGTTGTCGCATGTAGAATTGTCGGTGTAGCCGCTGCTGCTGCTGCTACTGTTGTCGCTGCTGCTGTGGCGGTTGCCGACTGGTTCGCAAGGATTTTTTCGAGTCGTGGGAGTGCTGCACGTATTTGCTTATGCTCAGCACGTAACTCCGCGATTTTCTGTACTGAAACATCTCCTTTTCCCTCCATTTGGTGATTTACAGGAAGATGCGCGACGAAAATAATCGAATTCTAGGTGCTGGTCGACTTACTGCGAGTCAAATTGACTGTAGAATCGACGAGCGCGAATTCTGTAGGTTGCGTAAATCTCCCTTAGGCGAAATTCGCGTCCGATCTTGGCCGTTGAGGAGAAAATCGATCCGACGCTCCAAATTCCAACTTTTTTGGGCGAAATTCTCTGGGCCGTTGAGATGAAACTCGATCGAACGGTCGAAACTCCAACCTTTCCACCAGTAAATCTGAGGGGTGTTTGAAAACCGAATCGAGGGGGACTTAGAAAAATTGCGCGGAACTGGTTTTACATACCCGTATCGGCGCTTTCGTCGTCGCCCCCGCGGTTTTTAAAGGCCGGAACTAAGCGGTTGAAGACCTCGCGTGTAAACCCGCTCTGATTACCAAGTGTGAGGATCTGGGATCGAGCTCAGAAAAGATGATTCAAATTGAATTGAATGATCACCTGGGTACAACACGAGGCTATATATAGGCTCGACACAAGGCCCCGTAACCAGGTGTTACGCGAAGGTTCCGCGGGTCGCGAAGCGTCCCGAACAGATCCTTACCGAATTCGGTAGAAGGCAATTCGGTGGCAACCGAAAAGCCAGAATTCGGTGCACGCAACCTAGCTCGGTGCTATAACTATAATAAAATATAGGAAAGCACCTAGCCTAGGAAATCAAGCAATTCATGCATGCATATAATCATCCCATGCTAGAAATAGCATAATAAAGTAAAGGCAATCAAGCATAGCTGGCATAAGCCGTCGTACTCTCACAGTCGTAATTTGTTCTCAGCTCCAATTGTGAGGCTGAGATCTACGCTAGAGCCATGGCTGCACAGGAGTTACGCTGGCTCACCTACCTGCTGACTGGCTTGGGAGAGCGGCCTCTTTCTCCTCCATTTCTGTACGTGGACAACAAGGCCGCCATTGCCTTGTGTCAGGAGCACAGACTGGAGCACAGAACGAAGCACATCGCTCTCCATTACTTCCTGGCTCGAGAGTTGCAGCAGCGCTGTCAGTTTCGTCTTGCTCACGTGGCCACTTGGGCCAATACTGCTGATATATTTACCAAGGCACTTCCGTCTGGTGATCATCAGCGCTTCTATACTATGTTAGGCCTTGTGCCTGTTTCGTCTCACTTGCTCACTTCGTGACTTCGCTTGTACTGTGATCAATATATACCTGTATGCTTGCTCTTGCTAGGTATTGATCACTGTACTGTTGTTGTTGTATATATACATCTGCATGTGACCTGGCCTTGTGGCCCTTTGCTTGTGCTCGAGTGTGTGGTGACGTTGTGATCCACCCCGAGCTTGCTTTGTTTTTCTTGATTGGTCTTGTGACCCCTTGTTCTCCCCCACTTTGCCTATGGGGGTGTGTCAAACCATATATGTGTTAGTTCTGTGTAGGCTATAGTGGGGTAGCCCATATGGGGTACAACCCGAAGTTAGGGTTAGTACTTGAACCCACATTTCATTCAATGCAATAATTCCTGCTTGCTATCTTGACAAGTACTACACTACTAGCTAGACATGCAATTAAAAAAGAACATATTCTGACAGTACCGTAGGTGGAGTGGCACAGGTTACTACCGTATACTGACCAGGCCCCCAATTTGGTTGATAGCTATTTTTGTACACTTCTGAGGATACCGTATTCTCGCGGACAAAACACCCCCCCATAATTGTACACCCCCGGGTAGCTTGTGCGGGGTGGGTGTTATGATAGACCTCGTTTCTACTATACCCCCCTTTTTGGCTGATTTTCTATAACACCCCCCTCTTCTTACGGATTCATTGTTCTAGTCGTTAACGAGTAGCTGCAATACGGAAGAATATCGCGTGAATTTCTCCCTCGATGAAATTTCGCGGTACATTCAAATGCAATCTGCTGAGATCTGCCCCCTCCCACTATTTCGCTGTCGCCACGTGCAGTGGAGGTGAATCTTCCACTGCAAGTGGCAAGAGATGTGCCACATGGCATTTTCATGGGGGTGATGAAGTTCGAGGCCAAAACTCGCATTCGCTCGCGCCTCAGGCAGTGATGTTAAAATGACCAGCAAAACACCCACATTGACTAATTAAAAAAACACTAACACTAAAATATGCCATATGTAAAGACCCGGGTATTATATATTTTTTTCCTATGAGGAGACCACCCCCATTTTTTCCCTGTATTTTTAGCTATACCCTAGGGTGTTATGTCCGGGAGAATACGGTAAACCAAACCAAACAACGCTTGCCAGATTGTGGTGGCTGGCTGTGGTTAATACCAGTAACAACTTTCAGACTGCACTCGAATACAAACTCGCACAGAAGCCCCACATGTACAGAAGCAAAGGGACTTCCGAATGGGATCAATGAGGAGGCTTAGCACTGGGTCCATCGACCACCACTGCCTGCATCGGATTGAAAGCTAGGTGGGCAATACTGGGACAGGAACTGTTGAAGGAAAACAGGGTGCCGTGTAGCGCACACCAACATGGGCACAACCAAGATGCCACCATAATAAATGTACTCGTGCACTCTCCTTCCCATTACCACCTCTGGAGGAGGTAGCGTGACGTGTAGTACAGATAACGTGTGAGTCGCTCAAAAGGCCACTACCGCTGCGAGTGGGAGTAATGCCCGCGGTAATCCCCCCCTCCCCCTCCCCCTCCCCCTCTGTAAGAAGGATGGTGTGGCGACGACCCTCCACTCCCCCCGCCACCGCCCCTCTCCCCCGCCGGCCCTTCACCATGGGGGTATGGCGGGTGCGGGGCAGGCATGGCGTGTGACGAGCGGTTGTACTGCGCATCCACATCCACGTACCCCGCCTGGCGGAACGACGGCAGAGTGCACACGTGCAGGCAGGAAGGGGGGGGGCAGGGGTGAGGTCGAGGCAAGGAAGGACGAGGGGTGGGAGAGGGGTTTAGCGGTTGTACTGCGCATCCACATCTACGTACCCCGCCTGCATGCACGAGTCGGGGGGAAGGGGGGGGGAAAAAGAGCAAGGACGGTCTTGAAGGGGGGGAAGAGGGGGGAGAGGGGGGAGAGGGGAAGGAAGCGGATGAGCGGTTGTAGTGTGCGACGACAGCCACATGCTACGCCTGGATGGACTAGCTGAGAGGGTGGGGTAGGAGAAGGGTAGAGGGGCAGGGGGAGAAGAACTAAAGAGCGGGCAGGAGGGAAGCAGACGAAAGGAATGATGGAAGGAGCAGCGTCAAATTGGAGGGCAGAGAGCAGACGTGCAGGCACGGATTTTGAGGCGCCTCAACAGATGTGCATGCGTGCACTGGCATGCAGAGCTGGCCAGTGCGTCACATCCACGTGCCCAGCCTGGACCGATGGTTGGCGGCAGCGGAGTGAGAGGGGGAGGGACGCTTTATGAGGGAGAAGGATGCAAGGGGGTGGACACGATTGCAAGAATCGATGAAAAGTAGCGCGCAGAGCACATGCACAATCACGATGCTACATGTGTTCAATGTCTCCATTCTATTATCCCGCACACAGTATTCAAGTCTATCTTGGGTGCACGACTGGGGTTTACCATTCTACTTTAATCCGAAGTTAAGTTCCAAGCTTGGGCAGGTTCTTTAGCACCCAAATGGAGCCAGGTTGCAGTCTTGGCTCCAATTGTCCACGATGATTGGCCCACACAGTACTCATGTCAGCCACACATGTTGGCATGATCACATGATTATACTGGCGAGCACCGAATCACTTTGTCAAGAACCCAATCAACCCAACATCCTCACCGCTATTACGTAAGCTTACAGTATTCTAGTCAAACCAACAATGACTTTCAAACCTTATCCCACCCAACGGGATTCTCACAACGCGCACAACCACGATGCCCCATGCACAATGGACTTGTAACATGCACATATGGCAGTGCAGCATCTCACCGCGGGTGGGTACGGCAGTGGTCTGCTGCCCGATGAACCGGCCGCAGCCCTGAGAGGCAGTGCCGGAGAAGAGCGCATGCGCGGGGGACAGGAGGGGATGAATGAATGTAAGCAAAGTGGATGGGGGGGACGGGAGGGGATGGGGGGAAGCGGTGGGAATAAGGTGAAGTGAGGGGAAAGGGAGGAGATGAGGGAAACCAGAGGGGATGGCGGAAGGGCAGGGGCGAGCAAGGAGAGAGACAGACTAAAACTTGGGGGTGGGGAAGTGGATAGGAGGCGATATGGGAAACTCGAAAGAAAGCTCCATACAGTAATTGCGACAGGGCAATGAATGGGATACACAATGATGTGTGGATAGGTGGAGAACGATGTGTGTGCTCCAGCACGTGCTCGTTTCGTTGGTGATACATTTTGTGATACATATGGTTCAGCCATGGCTACTCGCCTGTTGTGACCTTCCTCACACTGCCTCACACACATTCATGCTGACCTCCATTGCATCACCCATGCCGCATCACATTCACCCATGCCGCATCACACTCACCCATGCCGCATCACACTCACCCATGCCGCATCACACTCACCCATGCCGCATCACACTCACCCATGCCGCATCACACTCACCCATGCCGCATCACACTCACCCATGCCGCATCACACTCACCCATGCCGCATCACACTCACCCATGCCCCATCACACTCACCCATGCCCCATCACACTCACCCATGCCCCATCACACTCACCCATGCCCACCCATGCCCCATCACACTCACCCATGCCCCATCACACTCACCCATGCCCCATCACACTCACCCATGCCCCATCACACTCACCCATGCCCCATCACACTCACCCATGCCCCATCACACTCACCCATGCCCCATCACACTCACCCATGCCCCATCACACTCACCCATGCCCCATCACACTCACCCATGCCCCATCACACTCACCCATGCCCCATCACACTCACCCATGCCGCATCACACTCACCCATGCCGCATCACACTCACCCATGCTCCATCACACTCACCCATGCCCCCCTGGTCGATTGGCACTCCCTCCGCCTCCACTCCCTCCTCCTCTTCCCCCATACCCCCCTCCTCCCCCATAAGCTTGCCCTTGCCTCCCCCCTCCGCCACTCCCATACCCTCCTCCCCCGCCCCCTCCATAACCACCTCCCCCTGACGCCCCTCCCCCTCCCCCTCCAGGCATCCGCTCCTGTCCATAATGCCCCCCCCCAACCCCCCCTTGCCTCCCCCCTGCCCCTCCCCCTCCCCCTCCCCCCTGCGGCATTCTCCCCCCAGCTGCCCCCCGCATATACCCGCCACCTCCTGCGCCCCCTCCCCCTGCTCCCCCCCTGGGCGGAAGCAGAGAGGAGGATTGGCGCCCATGGGGGTGGGGGGGGAGCCCGCTTCCCCCTGGCCCTCCCCCTCCTCCTCCCCCCCCTGCGCGCTGCCGCTTTGCCATCTCCTCTGCCTGCTGCCGCTGCTGCTGCCGTCTTTTCTTGGTCTGAAACTCGTGGGACGACTCGTACTGCGGCAGGCTGTAAAGGGTATGGCAGCGGAAAAGGGGAGGCAAGGAGGGTTGGGAGCGGAAAAGGGGAGGCAAGGAGGGTTGGGAGCGGAAAGGGGAGGCAAGGAGGGTTGGGAGCGGGAAAGGACGGGGAGAGTGGGTGGAAGGGTGTTGGGCTGAAACATGACAGACGACTCGTACTGAGGCAGGGTGAGTGTGTATGGGTATGGCAGGGTGTTAGTGCATGGCAGGGGGCGTTGAGACGGAGGGGGAGGGAAAGGAGCACCCGTGCGCGGATAGCATGGCAACGCACCTGCCCGGGTCGCAGGGAAGAGGGTCGACCCAGAAGTACTCCGCATCAAGGGCGTCCTTGGCTGACAGCCGCTGCACGCCGCCACGCATGGCAGGGCGTGGAGTGTGATGCGGTGACATGGACGGGGGAGAACGTCGAGGAGGGGGGGGGGGAGGGGGAAGGGGGGAGGATGAGGACCGCGGGGGGAAGATGAGGACCGGGGGGGGAAGAAAATGAAATGATATGGCAGATGCGATTGAGGAGCGTCCACCCAGTATGAGGTATGACTTGGTTGGCTGTTCATCGCTGGAGTAGGGGCGGAATAACGGCGGAGACAACAGAGAAGCCAGCCACATGACATGGTATGCATTCTCACATCACATGAGCTGAGTTTCTTAACAACACCCGCTCAACAAGTGCTGCTTAACTAATAGCAGGGCTTGTAAAAGACCCGCGTGAGCATATTGTCAATGTCGTTTTATGTCAAACAGCCTAATGGTTTGAAGAACGTGGAAAAGAGGAAGTGGTAGAAGCAGAGTGGTGGCGGCGGGGCACGCACCTTGTTGGGGTCGAGTGTGAGCATCTTGTCCAGCAGGTCCAGCGCGTGCTTGTCCACACTGCCGCCCCCGCCATGGGGCGCACCGAGGGGCAGGGGGACGGGGAGGGGACGACAAGGGTGGGACGGACAGGGGAAGGGAAGGAAGGGAGGACAGGGTAAGGAAGGACAGGGTAAGGAAGGACAGGGTAAGGAAGGACAGGGTAAGGAAGGAGCGGAGGGAAGGAAAAGGGATGGAGTGTGAGAATGTTGTTGAGCAGGCCGAGAAGCTTGTGCACCGCACAGAAAGGGGGCGGGTAAGGGAAGGGGACGACAGAGGGCATGCGGGCGCGGGTACGAGGAGAGGGAAGCAATCTGGCGAGAGAGACAAGGATGTACATACTCTCCCATGCTGTCTCCCCTGCACTGCAGTGCACGTACTTTCTGAAGATGTCTCGCACGCGGCGCTTGAGCACGCGGTCGCTCTTGTGCTGCTGCATGTACGGCAGCTTGGAGCACCCCGGCCAGTTGCTCTCGTCCGGTGTGCCGCAGAGCTGGAAGATGAGCCCCAGCTGCTCTATCTGGTGGGTCACACGCATGCACACATGAGGGGGTCAGGAGTGGAGGCATGTGGGGGCTGTGCGTGGAATGGCAGCTTGGACTTGGAGCACCCCAGCCTGTTGCTGTCGTGCAGTGTGGAGGACGAGACTCAGTTGCTCTATCTGGTGCCATACTGTACGAGTATCCAATGCGAGTTGAATACTGCGTTACTCACTTTCGCGCCACCCCTGGTGGTAACCAGTAACCAGCAACCTCACCAGTAGTGGTGGTGAGCAAAGCAGCAAGGAGTGAGTGAGCGCACCTCGCTCTTGCCTGGCAGGATGGGCTTGCCGATGAGCAGCTCTGCGAATATGCACCCCACTGACCACATGTCCACTGCCGGCCCGTACCGCACTGCACCCATCAGCAACTCCGGCGGTCTGTGTGAGAGAGTAAAGGGGGGCAGGTGGGTGGAGGGAGGGAGTGGAAGGAGTGGAGTGGTGAAGAGGAGGGGCAAGCGGACTGTGTGGGGATGCTGGGTGGTGCCCAGCAGCTGTACTGTGCTGTGCCGAGAGGAATATCAGAATGCATGCAGCAAGCAACCCAAGTGAGAGAGTCCAGTAGCCAAAAGTTTCTCGTGGGTCTAGAGGTGTCATAGCACAGTGCCACGGGTACCAGGGGCCACCGGAATAGCTTTTGAGTCGACTCAGAAGTCACCTTGATAGCAGTGGCGACCAGAGCAAGGAAGCACATTGGCAAGGTGCCAGCCACATTGCCATATTGTTTATCGGTCATCCGCACCGCATAACCTATATGCTGTACCTAATCACCACCACCCGCGGCAGCAGGCACAGGAATATAACGAGCAGCAGGCACAGGAATACAACGAGCAGCAGGCACAGGAATATAACGAGCAGCAGGCACAGGAATATAACGAGCAGCAGGCACAGGAATATAACGAGCAGCAGGCACAGGAATATAACGAGCAGCAGGCACAGGAATATAACGAGCAGCAGGCACAGGAATATAACGAGCAGCAGGCACAGGAATATAACGAGCAGCAGGCACAGGAATATAACGAGCAGCAGGCACAGGAATATAACGAGCAGCAGGCACAGGAATCTAACGAGCAGCAGGCACAGGAATCTAACGAGCAGCAGGCACAGGAATCTAACGAGCAGCAGGCACAGGAATATAACGAGCAGCAGGCACAGGAATCTAACGAGCAGCAGGCACAGGAATCTAACGAGCAGCAGGCACAGGAATCTAACGAGCAGCAGACACAGGAATATAACGAGCAGCAGGCACAGGAATCTAACGAGCAGCAGGCACAGGAATCTAACGAGCAGCAGGCACAGGAATGTAACGAGCAGCAGGCACAGGAATATAACGAGCAGCAGGCACAGGAATCTAACGAGCAGCAGGCACAGGAATATAACGAGCAGCAGGCACAGGAATCTAATGAGCAGCAGGCACAGGAATCATAACGAGCAGCAGGCACAGGAATCTCAGAACATACCAAAGAATAAGGATTCTGGCCTCACTGATTGGTGATGGAACAAGCCATGCCAATTCTGCCACAGAGATACACAACCTGACTCCATTCACACCGCACCGCACCGCCGCGCACACATTTACCAAAGATGTGGTGTGGTGCTCACCGGTACCAAAGGGTGATGACGCGGTTGGTGAGCTGGCCGCTGGCCTCGCTGTTGAAGGAGCGCGCGAGGCCGAAGTCAGCGAGCTTGAGCACACCCTTGTTGTTGATGAGCAGGTTGGACCCTGGCAAGTGGGCAGGGCGGAACAAAAAGGCATGACAGCAGGCCAGCACGGCGAGACACGAGGCCGGAATGAGGATGGCAAACGACACGGGTACAGCACACAAAGGCCAAGTCTCAAAGCTCAAGAGGGGGGTGCGTGGGAGGGTGGAAGGGTGGCAGGTGAGTGAGTGGGTGACCTTTGATGTCGCGGTGCAGCACGGAGTTGATGTGGCAGAAGTGCAGCCCCGTGAGCAGCTGCTTCATGTAGCACTGCCCGTGTCGTGATTGGGCACACACGCATTCAAAATCACACGGTCAGGGTGTGCAGAGCAGGGCAAAAGCGAATGAGAACAGTGATGCATCTGAAAGTCTCTCTAACAGTCAAGAACGACATGATGGACGATGGTCACAAAACGGGAAACAGTAATATATATTTCACAATGCTACATTCATATATATTTCTAAAGCAGCACTCTCCTTCATCGTTAGCGCGTTGGTACTGTGACTCATGCCTCTCACCTTCATCTATGCCCCTCACCTGGACTGGAACCTGCAGCACGTACGTTGCTTCATCTGTGCGGCGCTCACCTTGATCTGGGGCACGGAGAAGCGCATGCCAGGGCGGTCGGAGAGGCCAGTGAGGTCATGGTCCATGTACTCAAACACCATGTAGATGCTGCCCTTGAACTTGTTGCTCTCCTCCGCTGCCCATGCACGCATGCATGCATCATAACGCGAGTCACCAATGCGAGCCATGATCAAATGAACACGTGAGAAGCATGGCACGGGCAAAACCTTACCACATGCACCCAGGCATTGAGGACTCGAAAGTACTTGGCCGGGTTTGCAATCTGTACTTGAGAAACGGGTCAAATAGCAACTCCAAGAGCACTGAACTAAGCACACCCGCTGTTTGCCCATTCTAGCCTTGTTCACTCTCGCGCTCATCACACCTGGCAGGCAATGGGTTCATGATGCAGGTGGGCTGAGTGCAGCAATGGACAGGCAGCACAGCACAGCACAGCACAGCACAGCACCGCACAGCACCGCACAGCACAGCACAGCACAGCACAGCACAGCAAAGCACCGCACAGCACCGCACTGCACCGCACAGCACAGCACAGCACCGCACAGCACCGCACAGCACACCACAGCACAGCACAGCACCGCACAGCACCGCACCGCACAGCACAGCACAGCACAGCACAGCACCGCACCGCACAGCACAGCACAGCACCGCACCGCACCGCACCGCACAGCACAGCACCCCACCGCACCGCACCGCACCGCACAGCACAGCACAGCACAGCACCGCACAGCACAGCACAGCACAGCACCGCACCGCACCGCACTAGGGATGAGCAAATGGCGAACACGAACATGTTCGTGTTCGCCTGGGCTCGAACATGGCTGTTTGGCGAACCGAACACTGTTCGGTTCGCCGAACACTTTACACCAGTAAGGGTGTTCGAAGTTCGCCAAGAGAGGCGAACATTTCGTACGTTTTGGCGAACACGAACACGTTCGCCCAGAACATGTTCGCGTTCGCCTTAAAGGACCTTCTCAGATCCAGGTAGAGTGAAATCCAAATGTTTCACATTCCCTCCCCCCACCCTGCAAGCCAGTCCCGCCGTGCTAGAACCGCCCATGCTAGATCTACGCTTAAGCAACGGCGAAATGCTAGATCTGAGCTTAAGCAACGGCGAAATGCTAGATCTGAGCTTAGGCAACGGCGAAATGCTTGATCCGCACTTAAGCAACAGCGAAATGCTAGATCTACGCTTAAGCAACGGCGAAATGCTAGATCTACGCTTAAGCAACGGCGAAATGCTAGATCTACGCTTAAGCAACGGCGAAATGCTATATCTGAGCTTAAGCAACGGCGAAATGCCTTGATCCGCACTTAAGCAACGGAAAAAGGCCTTGATCCGCACTTAAGCAGCGGCAAAAGGCCTTGATCTGAGCCCAAACACCAAGGCCCACGCCCTAAAAATTGGTCGCGGGCATATTCGTCGATGAACACATTGGCGTTCGTCGAAGGCCCGTGTCGATCACGAACACGTTCGTGTTCGTCGCGCCTCGGCCAGCTGAGCCGGGCGAACGGCGAACGTGTTCGGGCGAACACCGAACACGTTCGCCCCGAACAATTTAGGCCAAAAAGCGAACCGAACAGGTGTTCGTCATATTGCTCATCCCTACACCGCACCGCACAGCACAGCACAGCATAGCACCGCACCGCACCGCACAGCACAGCACAGCACAGCGCAGCACAGCACAGCACAGCACAGCGCAGCGCAGCACAGCACAGCACAGCACAGCGCAGCGCAATACCGCACAGCACAGCACAGCACAGCACAGCACCGCACCGCACCGCACCGCACAGCACAGCACAGCACAGCGCAGCACAGCACAGCACAGCGCAGCGCAGCGCAGCACAGCACAGCACAGCGCAGCACAATACCGCACAGCACAGCACAGCACAGCACAGCACCGCACCGCACAGCACAGCACAGCACAGCACAGCACCGCACCGCACCGCACAGCACAGCACAGCACAGCACAGCACAGCTATGTGACGGAAGACGCAAGACGCGTCTTGCGTCTAGCGTCTAGACGCTAGACGCGTGTTTAGACGCTAGACGCTTGGGAGGAAATTCTTCGGTCAGCCCGGAAAAAAAAATCCCGACGCCGAAATTGAATTTCGCGAGTTTGATGCGAAATTCAATTTCGCGACATTTGCACCCCCTCCCACCCATTTCGACCTAAGAAACAGGCCCCTCATGCAAAGTTGAAATTCCTTCAACCAAAATTGAACACACACCTCTCTCAACTGCATAACATCTAGAAAACCCAACCTTGATGGCAAACCACCAAGAGCTTGGGAAGCACAAATCCCCCATTTGTGCTTCCCATCTTTCACTTCTACCAGATTCTCTTTCAAGTACCCTTTAGGGTTTAGCTACTTCCCTCTCGAAACCATGTCGTCTCCTAGTTCGTCGTCTAGTTCCGCCTCCTCGCATGACGATGCCGTGGGGGAGGATTTTTCCGCTCATGTTTCCAAGGAAATGGAAGGAGTTGCGAAGGAGAAAAAGTATCCCGAACACCCGATCTACAAGCATTACTACTATTTTACGGATCCAAAGAAAAAGGGCGACCAAGTGGAGTGTGAGTTTTGCGGCAAGAAGCTTTCTTGGAGTAGTAGCCGTTGCCCCGAGCACCTTGCCAAGTGGCACGATCCACAACGCCGACGCGAGGCGGGAGTCCTTTGCAAGGATGTGCCGATGGAGGATTCGGAGGAGATCCGTGAGATGTTCGAAGCGAAGGTTCGAGCGCGCAACCAAAAGGCGAAGGCGACGGATGCGGCGCTCGTTGCGGTGAGCGGCCAAAGCGCGGCGGGAGAGAAGGCGAGGAAGCGCGGGCGCATGGACGATTTCTACGACGAGGGTGGCGTGGCGGCAAAGAAGGCGGCCGACGAATCGATTGTCCTCTACCTCGCGGGGACGCGCACATCGGAGCGCCAGCGCGAGCACCCGCTCTTCCTCAACATGTTGCGCGCCATCGCCGTCGTCGGCTAGGGATATGTTTCCCCCCAAGCGGCACTACGTCGGGGGCGCCGGCCTGCAAGACTGCAAACAGCGGATCGAGAAGGCGTTGTCGCCCGTTACGAAGTCGTGGAGGGAGACGGGCGTGACGATCTCCAGCGACATGATGCAGGACACGAGCGGACGCGCGCAGATGAACGTCATATGCATCAACGACGCTGGAGCTGTCTTCGTTGAGGCGGTTGACTGCAAGGCTGCAACGAAGAGTGGCTCGTTCATCGCAAGCGTCCTGCGGCCGATCATCGAGCGCATCGGGGCCGAGCACGTCGTCGCGCTCTGGACGAACGGCGGCAGCAACTACAAAGCTGCTGGCAAGCTGTTGCAGAAGGAGTGGCCACATCTCGACCTCGTTCCCTGCGCCACGCACGTGATGGATCTGCTGATGGAGGACATCGGCAAGATGGACTGGGCGCAGGTGATTGTGACTCAGGCCGACAACATCATCAACTTCGTGCGCAGTCACCAGTGGACGCGGGCGTTCCTACCTATGTTGAGAAAGACGCACGGAGGACGCACGGCGATTTTTTTTTCGGGCTGCTCGGAAAAAATCCTGATCGCGAAATTGACATATGCGATTTCGACGCGAATGTCAAAATCGCGAAATTTCGACCCCCGCTTGCCCAAATCGCCATTGAAAGTGTGGAAGGTCCCCCCCCTCTTAGCTCAAACGCACTATTTCGTCACCCTTTGAGATAAACGTTACTTTAAAACGGTTAACTAACACTAAAACCTAAGTTTGAGAACAAGCTAGGTGAGATATGGCATCATGAGAAGCTAGGGGTGAGCTGAGCTTGCGCTAGAGCTTGCACAAAATGTCGCGCAGCTCAAATTTGACCCCCACGACATTTGTCCGGGGGGGTCAAATCCCCGCAAGAATGAGATCTGACGAAATTGACTCAAATTAGAACAAAAACCGAATTTCACCGCACCGAATCTAGAAGTTCCAAACAGTCTATCAATTCCCATCCCAAGTCGACCAGATCTGGCCGCATTTGTTGGCCTGAGATATAGTCGACAGCATAATCAACTTTTAGGGTTTTCTCGACTAGCTTAAAAGTAGATATGAGCAACGAACCGAACTTAGGTTTAGCCAAAAAGGTTTGAGCAAACCTTGCTGAAGTTCGCGCGAACAGTTCGCGCGAACTTTTTCGGTTCGAGTTTCAAACCTCGAACCGAACAGGTTCGAAGTTCGAAAGGGTGAAATTCGAACCGCGAGGGGTTCGAATTTGATTCCCGCCAGAAAAAACCCATCGCGACTTTCCTGTCAAAAATGGGAAAGTCGTAGGTTGGCCGCCATTTGAAGGCAGCCAACCCTAGACTCGTAGCAGAGCAGAGTAGAGTTAGATCTAGATCAACTCTAGCTCACCCATGCTTCCCCACTACCGTACTTTCACCTCAGCTCCAACTTCAGATGTGTCAAACGTTAACTCGTTATGTTTGACAGATTAGTAATGCCTATTTATTTTCCAGAGAATAGGGTTAGCTTACCGTTTTTAACCACTTAGTCCAGTCCATTTTAAACCTCAAACCTGCTAAGGTTCGAGTTCGCTCAAACCTTTGAAGGTTTGAGCAAACCTTTACGGTTCGCCATTGTATTCTCAAACCTTAAAGTTCTGAAAAATGTTCGAGCAAACCTGTTCGGTTCGGTTCGAGCAACATGCAAGGTTCGAAAAGGTTTGCACAAACATGTTCGAGTTCGGTTCGTGCTCATATCTACTTAAAAGTAGAGCTGACGAAGCAAATTGTCGCAGGGGAAATAGGCAGGCCAGAACAGCCCGACCCGCCCCCGTGCTCATCCAGGGCCTATAGCAATTTTTTTTGCCTGCCTGGGGGGGTTTTTTTGCCCTGCCCGGGCTTGCGTCTTTTGGTGCGTCTTTCTGGTCCTGATGCTGCGTCCTGCGTCTGGACGCATGCGTCCAGACGCATGCGTCCAGGACGCAGGACGCGTCTTTCGCAACATAGGTTCCTGCGGCTCCCGGAGATGCACGGCGAGAAGAAATCGCTGCAAGCCCTGCGCCCGGCAAGCACGCGCTTTGGAACGCAGTACATCGCAGTGTCTCGTCTGCACGAGATTCGCCCCAGCTGCAGGCGATGGTGGCGCACAAGGACTGGGCGGAGAAGGGGGGGGACACGCTGACGGGAGCGGATTTCGAGGGGTGGGTGAGCGACCTGGCGTGGTGGAAGGTGGACTTCTTCGTGCAGCTGATGGAGGTGTTCTACATCGTGATGCGGAGGACGGATTCAGCGGCGAAGGGGATGATGGGTCAGCTATACGACATCTTGGTGCAGCTGACAGAGGAGTTGGATAAGCTGCTGGATGGGAGGGAGTGCAAGCTGAGCAGGGTGGATAAGGATAAGGTGAGGGAGCATTTGAGGAGGCGTTGAGACGAGAGCCTGGCATGCCCCCTCCACGTGGCAGGCCGGATCTTGAGCCCGGCCAACCAGGAGGAGGGCATCTTTCTGCAGGACCCGGAGTGCACCAAGGTCATGCAGGAGTGGCTGGAGCGCCAGCAGGTCTTCGTAGATACATACTGGGGGAAGGCCCGCGGCAAGAAGGGGCCGGTGCGGCCGCTGCACGAGGCGGTGACAGCCTACATCAACAGCGATGGGAAGTTCGGCTCTGATACCGCGGCCAAGGGGCGTAAGGAGATTCAGCTGGGGAAGGAGAACGTGATGCTGTGGTGGCAATACAATGGATGGGAGTACCTTGACCTGGCGCGTCTTGCGCGTCGCACGCTTTCCCAGACCGTTTCCGCTTCCCCGTGCGAGCGTAACTGGTCTACCTGGGATGGAGTGCATACGGCGCGCAGGAACCGGCTCGGGTCGGAGAAGGTCCGCGACCTTGTGTACATCGCGCACAACATTCCAGTTGTGCGCGATATCCACAAGGGTGCGGATGACCCAGGGCCTAGTGGGAAGGTGGGAAGGAAGGGGGGGGTGGTGGAGGGGACCATTACCCCCCCTCCCCTCCCCGAGGGGTACAAATTGGAGGAGGATGGGGAGGTGGAGAAGGATGAGGACGACGTGTGCATCGATGAGTGGGAGGGCCAGGAGGAGGAGGAGGACGAGGAGGACGAGGAGGACGAGGAGGAGGAGGAGGAGGAGGAGGAGGAGGAGGAGGAGGAGGAGTAGGAGGAGAGGTTGGAAGAGGCCTAGTGATTGCAGGGATGTAGTAACTATGTATGATGAGAAATGAGGATTGTTGTGAACTTAAAATATGTGGAAAAAGTTTTGGTACAACAGAAATTTGACCCAAATGGGTGATATTTGCATGTCCCCCACCCTCCCCATGGCCCACGGAAGTTTTTTTAGGCTGCCCGAACCTTTTTTTTTAGGCCTGCCCGGGTTTCCGTCTAATATGCGTCTGACCTACCCCTAAATGCGTCTAGCGTCTTAGACGCTGCGTCTAGACGCAACCGTCTAAGACGCTAGACGCGTCTTCCGTCACATAGCAGCACAGCACAATACAGCACAGCACAATACAGCACAGCACAGCACAATACAGCACAGCACAGCACAGCACAGCACAGCACAGCACCGCACAGCACACCTTTGGAGGTGACGATCTCCTTGAGGTTGACAATGTTCTCGTGCTTGAGCTTCTTCAATATCTTGATCTCGCGGATCGCTGTGATGGGGAACTGCATACCGCACCCATGGGAGGAGTGCAAGGGCGCAGATGGAAGGGCGCAGGTGGAAGGGCGCAGGTGGAAGGGCGCAGGTGGAAGGGCGCAGGTGGAAGGGCGCAGGTGGGAGGGCGCAGGTGGGAGGGCGCAGGTGGGAGGGCGCAGGTGGGAGGGCGCAGGTGGGAGGGCGCAGGTGGGAGGGCGCAGATGACTTCTTTATCAGCTCATAAGCCAAGCCACTGCGTATGCCTGTGGCGGAGGATGTGTGTGCTTGACAGGGGTGGTAGGACCTATGGTATGGAGCACAATGCATACACGCGCTAAAGCATATGGGGGACAACATGAGTGAGGTGAGGGGACAGGCAGTGTGGAATGAGATACGCAGAGCTCACATACAGTGAGCAATGAAGAGCAATAACAATCTACCAGAAACTCAGTTCGTTCAGGAATCTTGCTACCTGCAGGCAGCGACTCTCTCACTCGCGCCCTCCTGCTCCTTCCCGGCAGCAGCAGCACAGCACGTGGCAGCGCAACTCACCCCCTCCTTCTCGTTGTCCATGCGCACTTTCTTCAGCGCCACTATCTCGCCCGTGTTCTTTTCCCGCGCCATGTACACCTGCCTGCGGTGTCAGGGGTACAGAGCGGTGTGGAGGGGTAGTTAGGTATAGAGAGTTGGATGAATAGCTATCCCCCCGCCTTCAGTGTTCTTCTCCCGCGCCATGTGTACCTGTGTGCCTGCATGCGTGAGGTGCACAGGAAGCAGCAACAATCACGTGAATGCATGGTTGGTAGGCGACTTTTGAGTCGACTCAAGCGTTGGTTGCCTGCGGTGCGCATACAGCCCAATCTCGTCGTCTGCAGAGCGCAGTCTCCTGCGTGACAAGAGCCTGACCGATGATACATACCCCGTGGTACCTTACCCGCGTGCCCCTTTCATCCCCACGCCTGCGCGACCATCTGAGCACAACGCATGCGTGTCCCTCTCAGCGTCCTCGTGTCAGGGCAGCCACCGCTACTCATTCGCGGCTGGAATTTCGTCTATCTCGCTCCAGCGGACCCGCCGTTTAACTCTATCGATTTGAGGGTCCAAAGCTTTCCAACCCTTCACAACCGTCAGTTACCACGAAACTCGCCTTCGAACTCGTCGCATCACTGGCAGGTCTCCTCGTTATCATTCGCAACCCTGGTATGAGCGCTCCCTTCCATAATCAACGCCACTGTCACTGTTCGCGTAACTCCTTCCAACGAAACGGTTCGTCCCAACTCCCCTCCGCTAACCCGCAGGTCACAACTCCCCGCGCGCTCACCCGTAGGTGCCCTCGCCGATCTGCTCCAGCTTCTCGAACTCCCGTAGGACCTACCTCACCTCCGCTAACCCGTACGTCCCATCTCTCCTCGCGCGTACCCGTAGGTGCCCTCGCCGATCTGCTCCAGCTTCTCAAACTCGTCGATGCTCCGCGACCCCCACGTGTGCGTGCCCTCCAGATTCAGCGTCCCCGGCGCCGCCATGCCCGCGAGCGACGGGGAGGTCTGCAACAAGTGCTAGAAGTGGTTCGCGCTGCACCGACTCTGGAGCGTGAAAAACGACAACGAATTACACTAAGGGTGATCACGTGGGAGAGAATTAGGCTGGAGAAAGACAACTGGCAGAAAGATCGTAAAAGAGACGGTCGAGAAGGAACTGAGGGTTTCAAGAGACGACACGTGCGACGATTTTCTCCCAACCCTAGGAAAGAGTTAGGCGGTCTTCAAGAAAGTAGGGTTTCAATGTGGTTTCGCTTTGAATTTCGGTTTCGGAAGGTCGATTTCAGTTACAAAATACAGTTTTGCCACGAGGTGCGTTACGAAGCACACATTGTAAGGAATTGCAATTCCTTACAGTACTCCCACTTTAGCGAGTACATTCCGAGGGTGACGCAACGAACCTGTTCGGCCTATTTCGTCGGCCAAACCACCCCCGCGTCGCCTCCGCACCAATCGCAACCATCACCGAGCCATCTTCGCCGACCTCCCCGCCTAGCTAGCTTTTCCCCTGTTTAGGTCGCGTAACTTCTATTGTATGGGCATTCAGTAATCCAGATCATCGTTATTCGTTATTCGTTATTCTGCACACTCTGCAGGTTCATTCGTAACATTTGGTATCAGAGCTACTTTCCTAGCCTACCCCACTTTTAGAGTATAATACTCCTCGGGGGGGGGACGATGAAGAATGTCATTGGGTCCAGGAGTTGCGTAGGCCGGCCAGGAGAACAAGTTAGTTGCTCCTCGCTGCTATCTTTTTACGGGGCATTCCTTGGCACCGCCGGATCCTTGCCTTGAACGGTCGCGATCGACCTTGACCTCCCTCCCCGTGGGCAACGGGCAGTAGTAGCTGTCGCGACGTTTCTGTGAGTAATTTCCACAACGTTTTTTTCTGACGATTTTGGATAATAATTCGAGTGGCAGCTTACGTCAGCGGACATGCGTCGGCACCTGCACGAACAGCCTCGAAGTCGTCATCACGTATGGCAGCTGGCGTCGGCGAATCTGCGTCCACAATTGCGCAAAAATATCGGAATCGTCCTTACGCGGTAGGTGACGACGGTGGCTCGCCGTCATCTTGTGCGCGAGATTCTTGGAAGGATCTTCGGCAGCTGGCGACAAGGTCTGCGTCAGTATGGGCGACATTTTCGGAGTTTTTCAAGAAAATGACAGCTGGGAGAACTCGCGAGGCGCAAATGGAGTTTTTGCATCTGAAAATGTCGGTGGCGAGGAGAGACGACACTGATAAAGTTAGAACGAGAATGAAATGACTATGAACGAAGTGGGTACAAATAGGAAACCCTAGTTGGGTTGTACCCCCTATGGGATACCCCACTATAGCCTACACAAATAAGTGAGCTATAATATTCTGACACACCCCCATAGGCAAAGTGGGGGAGAACAAGGGGTCACAAGACCAGTCAAGCAAAGCAAAGCAAAGCTCAGGGTGGATCACAAAGTCACCACACATTCCGAGCACAAGTTCAAGGGCCACAAGGCCAGTTCACATGCAAGAGCATATATAGAGATATACAAGAGTCAAGCAAGCAAGAACAAGAGTATATATAGGTCAAGGTACAAGCAAGGTCAAGAAGTGAGCAAGTGAGGCAAGACAGGCACAAGACCCAGCTGCGTGCAGCAACGCTGATGATCACAAGGCGCAAGTGCCTTGGTGAAGACATCAGCAGTGTTGGCCTCAGAGGCCACGTACGCAAGTCGCAACTGTCCACGCTGCTGTAGCTCACGAGCAAGAAAGTAGCAGAGAGCAATGTGCTTTGTCCTGTGCTCCAGTCGCTGTTGAGATAGAGGCGAGGAATGGGTGCACTATGAAATGAAACAAGTACAAGTACCAACCCTAATTGGGTTGTACCCCCTATAGGCTACCCCACTACAGCCTAAATATATGCATCACTAATATAATCATCTGACACACCCCCATAGGCAAAGTGGGGGAGAGCAAGGGGTCACAAGACCAGTCAAGCAAAGCAAAGCAAGCTCAGGGTGGATCTCAAGGATACCACACAAATTCCGAGCACAAGGTCAAGGCCACAAGGCCAGTTCACATGCAGCAGAGCATATATATATAAAAGTGCTAAACAAGCAAGAGCAAGGATATATATATGCAGCAGTACAAGCAAGGTCAAGAGGTAAGCAAGTGAGGCCCAGTGGGCACAAGGCCTAGCAGAGTGCAAAAGCGCTGATGGTCACGAGGCGGAAGTGCCTTGGTGAACACATCAGCAGTGTTGGCCTCAGTGGCCACGACACGCAGGCGAAGCTGACCACGCTGCTGCAGCTCTCGAGCAAGGAAGTGGCGTAGAGCAATGTGCTTCGTCCTGTGCTCCAGTCTGTGCTCCTCACACAAGGCAATGGTTGCCTTGTTGTCGACGTACAGCACTGGAGGAGAAGGAGGCCGCTCTCCAAGGTCAGTCAGCAGGTAGGTGAGCCAGCGAAGCTCCTGGGCAGCCATGGCCGTGGCGTAGATCTCAGCCTCACAGCTGGAGCTGAGAACCGAAGAAGAGCGAGTAGAGCGCCAAGAGACAGAGCCAGAGCCAAGACTGAAGGTGTAACCCTGAGACGACCTCTGAGTAGCCTGGTCGTCAGCCCAAGAAGCGTCTGAGTGCCCAATGAGCACAGGCCGCTCACGCCCTCCAAGCACTAGCCCCATGCCCGACGTACTGCACAAGTAGCGCAACACCCTCTTAGCTGCATCCATGTGCTCCTTCCGGTGACGGCCGGGAGCAACATAGCGTGCTAAGATGCTGAGAGGGTATGCGAGGTCAGGTCGAGTGCAAGTCATCAGGTACATGAGGCAGCCCACAAGCTCTGGATACGGACCACTCGACTCTACGGACTCATCCGAAGGCAGAGCTGAGAGCGAGTGTCCCGTAGGCAGAGGAGTGGACTGAGGCGAGGAGTACGTGAAGCCGAAGCGCTGAAGGACCTGCTGCACCATGTGTGACTGAGTCAGGGTAATGGTGCGGCGTGCTCTGTCCCGGGTGATCCGCAAGCCAAGATAGCTTGTCAGTTCACCCAGGTCTGTGCACGTGTGTCTATTCTGCAGCTTGGACTTCACGTGAGCGAGACCAGCTGTGTCAGAAGTGGCAAAGACCAAGTCGTCGACGTACACGAGGATGTAAAACGGCGGCGGTGAGGTGTCGGTGCGTAGAAACAGCGACGAGTCAGCACTAGAAGGAGTGAACCCAAGAGCCGCAAGTGTAGTCCTTAGTGTGTCGTGCCACTCACGTGGCGCCTGGCGGAGACCATAGACTGGCCGCCGGAGGCTCCACTGGGTACCAGGAGGGAACGACCCAGTGAAGCCAGGAGGGCGGCGCAGCCAGATCTCCTCGTGCAGGCGGCCCTGCAGGAAAGCAGTGCTGAAGTCAAGAGAGTGTAGCTCGTAGTCACGCTGAGCAGCGACGTGCAGTAGAACCCGAAGAGTGGTCATCTTCGGGGTCGGGGAGAAGGTCTGAAAGAAGTCAACTCCCTGTCGCTGACTGAAGCCACGAGCCACGTAGCGCGCCTTGAAGACAGGCGGAGAACCCGGCGGCCGCTTCACCCTGAAGATCCACATGCCACTGACAATGTTCGCCCCAGGAGGGGGAACAGCGTCAACGTAGGTGCCTGTGGACTTCCAGGAAGCCATCTCTGCGTCCATGGCTGACTGCCACTGAGAGGAGTAGGGACCGGCCATCGCCTCTGCGTAAGAGCGTGGGGTCTGGATGTCTAGAGCATCCGGGTCTCCCTCAGGGGCAACAAGCATGGACACGAGATGGGGCAAAGCGGCGACAAAGCACTGGAACTCCTCCTGCCTGTCCTCAAGGACGTCCGTGCCAAGAGCACAGTCACCCCCGACGGACGGAGGACAGGCAGACGCAGACGCAGCAGACGCAGACTCAGCAGACTCAGCAACAAGACTGGCAGCGTAATCCAGACGACACGCAGCAGCAAAGTCGACCAGCTCAGCAACTGGGGCAGACGCAGTAGCGGACTCAAAGGAAGGGTCAGTGACAAGAGAAGCAAGAAGAGGCGTGACAGTAGGACTGGCAGCACGGTGAGAGTCCGACTCCGGGTCGGCAAGTGTAGGAAGAGAAGACTGAGGAGGAGAAGGCAAAGGGGCACGCAGAGGAGCAGTGGACGGACGCAGAGACATCTGGTGCGTGTCAGGGACAGGAGGAGGACGCTGACGCGAACCGCGACCACTAGGGCGAGGAGCTCGGACTGGCGACGCAGGGCGGGACGCAGGCTCACGACGCTCCGCAAGACCTCCAGTAGGACCAGCGTAGGGAGAAGGAGAAGGAAGGGGAGAGGCGGGCTGTAACTGTGACTGTGACGGGACAGGCTGCGGACACTCTACGGGAGGAGAAGGACTAGTGGAAGGCGGGAGACCAAGAACCTGCTGAAGGAGCGGAACGAAGTACGGCCGAGGCCGCGTAGCACCGCCAGAGATAGCAGGGACAGCACCAACACCTCCAGAGGCAGCACCAGCACCAGTAGCAGCTCCAACTCCAGCACCACCAGCAGCTGCAGAAGTACCCGCAGTAGGACCGACAGTCGTAGCCTCAGCGCCAGCACTCGCAGCAGCTCCAGCTCCAGAGGCACCCCTGGGCCCGGTAGCTCCAGTACCCTCAGTACGAGCACCTCTGGGACCCGTGGTACCAGCTCCCTCGGCAGCAACGGAACCTCCAGCACCCGCAGTACCCCCAGCTCCAGCAGCTCGCCTCCAGCGCCGGGCAAACCACTCACGCAGCTCCAAAGAGGAGAGCGGCTCGCGGCGTGAGGAACGGTCTGGAGAACCACCAGGAACAGCAGCAGCAGGCGCAACACTCCCAGACGCAGTACCCCAAGGCTCAGCACCCCCAGGCATAGCACCCCCAGGCTCAGCACCTCCAGGCTCAGTACCCTCAGGCTCAGCACCCCCAGGCTCAGCACCCCCAGTCTCAGCACCCCCATGCTCAGTACCCCCAGGCTCAGCACCCCCAGTCTCAGCA